GTTGTAACTGCTGCTTTTGTTGTTGTTGTTGTTGCTGCTGATGCTGCTGCGATGTTGCTGCTGCTGCTGCTGCTGTTGGTGATGCTGCTGTTGTTGCTGGTGCTGCTGCTGGCTGCTGTTTGTGCTGCTGTTGCTGCTGGTGCTGTTGTTGTTGCTGCTGCTGTTAGTGCTGCTGTTGCTTTTTTCTGCTGTTGTTGTTGCTGCTGCTGCTGCTCCTGGCTGCTGTTGCTGCTGCTGTTGTTGCTGCTGTTGTTGCTGTTGCTGCTGTTGCTGCTGCTACTGTTACTGCTGCTGCTATAAGTTAGTCATCCTAGTAAATAAAAAAAACCAATGTACCTGATCTGTACAGACTGAAATATGGTGACACATGTATATCATCAAATTTTTGTTCCTATTTCATTTGTATTTATAGGTAATATAGAACATTGGCTTTTGTTGTATTTTTGTAGAAATGGACGAAGTTTGAGATAAGTATTTTGAAGCAAATATTGTTACACTGACCTAGCTCAATTTTGTGGTCATTAATACTGGCAAAAATACAAGGAAAAATCATTGTAGTCCGATTCCTTGACGCTACTGCAGACGAGACGCCGTAATTTACAGATGGCAGGGAATTTTCAGTTCAGGGAACCAGACTTGGTGGCTTGCACCCGTTTACGGATGTGTAACTGATCGCAAATAAAATGTGGACAAACTACCTTTGGTGAATTAGAGTTGGTATTTGAAAATAAGTCAGTTTTTTCCCCAATGATGGTTGGATAACCACCGTTAACAATTGCTACCAAAAAATCTATTTTTTCTTAAAACTGACGGCAAGTACCATGATGTGAAAGCACTAATCAAGTACGATATTTTGTAATAATTTGGAAGTTTTGTTTTGTAATATTTGTAAATGTTGCATATACCATTAAAGAAATTGGGTAAAAGTACAATGTGTCCGTCATTCCGTCATTTCCGTCATATACTGATGTTATATTACAGACAGTGCTTTGACTTCATATAGTAATTTCTTTTACATGGCCGTTAATTATAATAATGTAAGGTCAACCATGTCGGCAGACTGATTAATTGACAGCAGGAAGGCAGCGGTAACCTTCATGCACAATAACTTAAGTAATAACGCATTGCCAATTCTAGTATCAACGGTGTAATCCCTATAAGATGCACTATACCGTGATCATTCCTATGTTTTGTACACAAGTATATGGAAGGCAATACAATATCCCGCCAATTATGGGAAACCATGGCCAGGGGATTCCCCTCCCCACCACCACCACAAAAAAAATTGTGGGTACAACGCTTAGAACTTCCAAAAAAAACTTTTACCGCTTTCTGGTGGAAAATCTTACAATTATACTGAATACAATATATTTCAGTCAATCAAAGTAGTGCAACCATAGCCATTTATAACTCGTTGCAATTTCCTACGTCATTATTTTCTAAAACTATTAAGAAAAACAGCCACATTATTATTACTAACCTCAATTATGAGTAAGCCAATTCCTGACGGATTTTGGTCGTTTCCAGCATGCATTGGCCCATAACGTTTCTGTACTCATACTGGCCAGTTCTTTTTGGAAGACATCTCATGTGTTTTGTACACGCAAATCAAAAGTGGACCTTCGGTCAATCGTTGACCCTATTGTCCTCCATTGTGTTCAAGGTCCACTATGTGTAAAATGTAAACCCACACGCCCACCCGTAGAACACGTACACCACCTCAAAACTAACCCCTTGTCGTCATGTGTGGGCGATATGTCCTCCCCTTTTTACAGGCAGGATTTACGCCCCTGCTTGACATCAACCGACAATATTGAAATATTTCAATACTAGGCGCTTATATAATGTCACTGTTCCATAGAGACCTCTGTTACGTATAAGAGAACATTACATTTTCTTTTCTTTTCTTTTCTTGTGAATAGTTGTCGAAGGATATATAATGCCACACTTCAATTACAATGTATTTTCACTTTTCGATTGGTTTTAATTCTTATGACCTCTCAAAGGTAAACGTCTCTATTATAGGCTAAGAAGTTTAAATGAATAAACAAAATATGGGAAGGCCCTTCGGCCATACTGCGCGAGTAAATTGGTTTTAATATTTTGCTTTTTGATAGCCTGCTGATGATGCCTTCGAATTATTATATATGTAAATACTATGAATTTCAAGGACAAACATTCTTAATTACAATATCTGCGCTCTCGCTTCACATTTTCCGAACTTTCATTTGTGGTTAATTATGAAGGTTCGTTAACTGAAGCACGCTTGTTGGCTACAGGGCATTATGCGTTTTAATATGTCGCCATTTGAAGGTCTTCTAACTTCCCCATCATTATTCTACGATCACGTTAATATCACGGACAAAACGTCTTAATTACAATGTCTGCGCTCTCGCTTCACAATTTTCCAAAAACTCATTAGTGGTTTATTATGAAGGTTCGTTAATTGAGCAAGCTTGTTGGCTACAGGGCATAATGCGTTTTAATTAGTCGCATTTTCAAGGCCTTCTAACGTCCCCATCAATATCATACGATCACGTTAATATCAAAGATAAAACTTCTTTATTACAATATTTCACGTTTCATTTTATTTTTAAACGTTCCAGGCTAGTTCATGATTGGCTAGGCTTCCTATGACGTAAGCCTGTTCCGTGGTACACGGCTGCGTTGTTGCTGGGGCGAGCTGTGCCTTGGTTTGTGTACTCGGTGATATACGATCAACATAACGGACTCTGGATCATAGCGTCATACACGGTACCGTTTTAGACGCATTCCTCATCGTTGTGGTGTGTGAGTACCTGATGAATACAAACAATTTAACGGATTGCCAATCCTTGCACTAATCAGACAAAGTTTTTGGCAAGTTTTCGAGTTGAGGCTGTTACCCAAGTGTTGTTCAGTGGTTTAATGCGTAGTCTTTTAATTCGCGTTGGTGTGTGCATGAGTCGTGATACATCGTAGTGCGTCCATAATTCACTGCATCTTGGACAATGGACGGAGCAGCAGCTTTGGTTGTGATGCTGTCAGCAATGGCAGGTAAGATTTAATATTTATCCGGGGATATACGTCCTCAAATTCCTGACTGGTTTGTTGGCTATAGCAGACAAACTGAGCTAGATCAGGATCGGGGACATAATATGCATCCCTCTATTTATTTTCCAACATAAAACCCCAAAGTTGCAATAGTCGTTCTCCATTGAATTTGTACGGTGCGTCGGCCGACTGTCCTGAAATTATCAGTGGTGTTGGTTAGCCAATGTTTTGACGATATGACCTCGCATGACCTCAAGAGGGAATGTCACTTCAGTTTTGTGTAAATACATTCACAATTTGGGTTTTTAGTCAACATTTTGGTAGTATGAAGTCATCGTAAGAGTCTGTGAATTCTCTCAGGTTGGGTTATAAAAGATTTCACATATGGCCCGCGCCTGATACAATTCGTCACCGACACCACGAACTAACACCCGGTGGGCAGCGTTGCATACAAATCGGAGAAAAACGCTTTTAAAGGTTTGACACGAATTTACTTAGTAGAATAGTCCATCTATCTTAGAGGTTTTAGTATCACTTAACGTGAAAATGCTTTAACTACTCAATTATAAACGTTATATTGTGAAAATATGCATAGTTAATTAGCAATTAAATGAATAAGACGGGTGTCAGTTCGTGAAAACGAAAATGTATGTGTTTTTGGAGAGTGCGCGCATGCAAAAGCGTTAGGGCCCTGTCACTCTTCTGCGTATCCTAATTCCTTATGAGTTGCGCATTTACTTTTTTTTCATACGCAGTCGTACGCACAATACGCACCTCATATGCATCTCTATCGTTTTGTGTTTGTTTTATGTACGCAGATATACGCATTGTACGGCCCAGTACGCAGGATAGTTTTGGGCATGCACAAAACTACGCTGCGTACGCTGTTACGCAGGTCATAAGTTATAAATACGCAGCGCATCGGTCCCGCATCGGTCGAGTGCGTTACGAGTACGCTATGTGCTCGTGACGCACCCCGTCAGCATATGAGCCGCCTGTATTGGACGCATACATAGCGTACTTGCAGCGCAGATACAACGCACGCTGAACGGCGAGCGGTGGAAATGCGGCGGAAATACTCTCAAAAGTGCGTCAAGCATGCGGTCGGCATAAGTCGGGTGCGTCCGGAATACGCTAGGCATGCGCACTGCATACTGACCTATTCGCAGCCCGAAAAATAATGTTGTGCACTGCATACGCAACTCATACGCATCTCATACGCAATGGATGCGCTGAATTCGGTACTTGTACGCTAGATGTGCGTCGCTCATAAGTCAAAGTATTTATAAAAATTCGATGTTTTGAGCGTACGGCTGAGTATTGAAAAATTTGATAAGGAACTCATAAGGAATTAGGATACGCGAAAGTGTGACAGGGGCTTTAAGGGAGTGTCAGTTCGTGAAAACAAATATTGACGTGTTTTGGGAGCGTGCGCGCACACAATGCGCATGCGTGCGCGCACTCTCCAAAACACGTCAATTTTCGTGTACACGCACTGACACTCCCTAACGCTATTTCATGCGCGCACTCTCCGAAAACACGTATTTTTTTTGTTTTCACGAACTGACACCCTGTGCAGTGGCACTTTATGGTAACAAAAAAACACCAGAATTGACCAATTTCTTGAACATTCATTAGTAAAATTTGCTTATTTTAGATGATTTTAGCAATTTTATCTTCGTCTTGTTAAACTTCATGATACAAACTGCTAATATCGGCAAAAAAAAATGAATTTAAATAAAAAATGTGTACACATGTGATGCAGAGGGTGTCAGTTCGTGGTGTCGTTGACGAATTATATGATGTCTACGAATCTTGCATTTCTGAACTCTGTCCTTCACATTGTTTTCTTTTCAAAGGCTCCAAAATGCTTTTTTGGAGAAAAATTTGGAGGATTGCTATTGCTTTGTGCAATCCTGGTCGTCCGAGGCAGACCAAAGTATTTTTTGGGTCAAATCTAGTGAAGAATGGGTTTACCACCAGACGTCACTACTGAGGAGGTACTTACCGTGTATCGGTGACATATGTATATAGAGTCTGAAACTGAAAGGTCTCGCAGCTCATCTGTGAGTACTTTTCATTGTGTTGCAATTTTGCCTTCTATTATATATTTTTGGGGAAAATGATTTCAAATTGTAACTACGCCTTGAAAAATTACTCTTTGAATTTTATCTGCGTGGGTACTCTGCGAGTAAATTTGCAAAAACAAAATCACTTGAAAGAATTTCATTTACGACCTTTCATTTCCGATTTTACGGTCCCTAGGTCTCTTTCGCTGTGCGCCGCTAGTTTTATTTCGCATCACTTCCACAAGAACGGGAAATGTTAGAATGTTGTGAAGATTTCGATGGGTTCTAGATTTTACTGAGTTTGTCTGAGCAGATTGTTGGTGCCATGCTATAAGCATCCGACTGGGCCAACGATAAATGGTCAGGTTTATTTTTTCTTCAAATCTTTGAAGTAAATCAAATATTTTAAAATTTCATTAAAAACTTCCATCAAGTGATCATCAAAATTGTAGGTATATACATCGACTTAAGGCTGTGAGTACGTATTAATATGGCACTAGTCTGCATGTATCTTAGATTATCGGAAGGGAATTGAGCGGTACATTTTTGGCCGTATAACTCATTCAGGTCAGGCGATTTGATCAATTATCACAAATTGATATGCTAGTTGCAATTTACAAAGCCTTTTCGGGGATGCCTTTCTTATATTAAAAAAAGTTACTGCAAATCTGGAATTTTAACGCGTAGTATTTTTATCGAGGGTCACAGAGACGCCCACCAAGGATGACATTTCAGTTAAACAGACAATAGTCCCAATCCGTAAGTCATGGGTTCGAGTCCCACTAAGTGTGACCTTGCATTTGTTCTTTAATTCCTGTTTCCCTGAAATTGTGTTTGTTTGTTTGTTTGTCAATTGAAACATTATACCTTTGCTTATCTATGGTTTGGAGGGTTTTGTTTTAAGGAAACGCAATTTGCATTGTTATGCAACCATAGCGAATAATGTGTTGTATGGAAAAAAAAGGAGTCTACTGCTGAGCTTCGTGAGTAGCGCCCCCATTTGTCAGTCAACCCCCTCAATCTTTGGCCGTGTTAATACCTGTGCGGCACAATTACTATTCGGTGATTCAGTAGTGTTTTCTGCGTGAGGCCACAGTATGTTGGAGAGTAAGAAGGCAATATTAGTTTCATGAGTGGGGAGCTAATTTTATCTTTCTCGTGAGCCTTCATGGCGATACAATATAAATGTGCTTTTTGGGTTTTGTTTTAGTCTGTTGTATTTACTAAAATTTACCCAACTTAATGAAAAGTAGCGCGCATCTGCTCAACCGGAAATGTCCACACAAGCTTTAACGTGGGGAAATTACCAGAAAGATCGGTCGCACAAATCTGGGGGTTGCAGATTATGAAAATTCATTCTGTTGGCTTTACGTCTATCTATGTCTGGCTTGGAAATGAAAATTTCTTGCAGTGGTCGGTTGTGTGAGTTCACGTGGCCAGCGTGTTGCATGTGGTATGCAAATCGCAAGGTCAATTGGGCGCGCAAAAGATCAATCACACACATTGATCTTTTGCGCGTTTGTGCCCCAAACTTTTTATTATGATAAAATTTAGCGCATTCCTACCGTCTCCGATCTATGAAAAAAAGGCAAATACTAGTGTATTTTTTCCCTGCAAACGTACATTATAGTGACGATCTCGTGTCATCAAGTCTGCTTCATCGGATCGGAGTACAACCCACATTCTGGTATCTCACCCCGTTGGTTCTTACCGTGCGAAGATCCGTGCGAATGCACTGCTATACGCCTGGGCGGAATGCGCATCCCTGCTTCGTCATACCGCCAGGGGGCGCCCCACTACCTGAACGAGCTTTTCCTGAGCGAGGATTCCGACGAAATTCAAGCTTACTTCGACTGTCAGCCTGCAGAGAATAATCCAGGTTAGAAGAATGTTTGGAAAGCATCATGGAATCGCGTTTTCACATCAGTACTAGAAAACAAGGGAAATAAGTTTTGCCTTTTCATTATTACATTGGAATGAAAATGTTCGTGAATTCGTAAATCTTCAGTTACTCATCATTGAGGTTTATAAGATGAAAAGTGTCATCAGGTCTTCTGCCCCAAATTATAGTTCAGAATCAGATTAGCTTTCACACAATGTTTCCATGTTTTATTATTTTAATTAGAATCAGTTTCGTTTGCTTTACTCGTTTGTTACCAGCTGAGTGTTCAAGCCCGCAACCCCTTGGTATGGAGGACGGGACAATCCAAGATGAACGAATCACGGCGTCCAGTAGTTACTACTGTTGTTCTGCCAGTGAGGCACGCCTCAACCATGACAACGGATGGATAGCCGAGAGGTAGGTATCAAAGGGACATACCACATCTGACACTTCACTCTCATATCTTTATATAACGGGTTCTTACATACACTTTAACCAATATCAAAGCGCTTTTACATCAGTATTAGTTTTCACTCATTTGTTTTGTGACATATAATGTCACAAAACGCTCCTGGGCGTGTTTCATTAATGAACATCCTCATGTAATCGCATCAGTGGGGTTTTGTTTTTGTTTTTTATTTTGTTTTATTTTGTTTGGCATTGTTTTTCCTTTTTGGTTCTCCTTTTCATTATATAAAAATAACATTCCCGTCCAAAGCCCTACCCGGATGCGCATTTGAATTGCACACTGTAACGAGTTTCAATGATTGTGTTCAATTTTCAAATCCATTCCACAAGCAGATTTGCGGATTATTGTTATTTCATTGTTCCTCATCCTCTCTTCACTCTGTGTACAGTGACGATGCCAATCCGTGGATCGAGGTGGACCTCGTTGAGCCTACAGTGGTGAGCGGGGTCATCACACAAGGCTACAGGGGCACTTTGTATGTGGAAAAGTACATGGTGGCGTACAAGAAACAGCCCTCATTTGACTATGAACACGTTAATGGAAACATCAAGGTAAACATCAATCTTTACTAAGTCTTGCTGTAAGCTTAATTTAACTTCTATACAAAAACAGTTTTGAAAAGAAAATGAAAAGGTATTTTTCTCATATTTTGTTTGGGCTTTATTGCAGTATGACAACTTCATTCTGTACGACTGTGTGTGGTTCCATGCTTATGCAAGCAATGAGCCACTCTGAAATCGTGTCTGGAATTAAAAACGTAAATGGAACCAACAATAATTTCAGATCATGTAAACAAGAAATGAGAAATTGTATGGAGCGAGTTTAATTAGCTTTGTGCAATAGGGTGAGGTTTATAGTTTTTAGGATCAAAAGCAGGACTTTCTTTGTTGATACGTAGTAGCAACCAAAAAACCAACCTCGGAAAAGATTGATGCTACATTTTCTTATAGAGGGGTTATTTAAAAGAAAAAAGCTTTTAGTCCACCCCCCCCCCCCAAGCAAAATGCTGTGAAGCTCGAAAAAACCCCAAAAAGCCCAGTCAAGATAGGTCTATATGCCTGAAAATGATCTTAAATGTGAGTCCCACCCAGGACAAACAGTTTACTTTATAACTTTATAACGCTTTGTTGAAATTCTGTTTCAAAGGAAGACCCTGTCAGTTAAGAATGCATACTTTGTTGTAGTTTTGGTCCTAGTCTTTACTACAGGTAGGCTATTTTGTTACAAACGTGCGTTTATTGCGTTGGGATTCATTTCAGGTGTTCATCGGTAACACTGATGGCCACACCCCGGTCACAAGCCTGTTTGATGAGAGTGTGGAGGCCACGGTAGTGCGCATTGAGCCTACTGAATGGTATGGTGGTGTTGGTCTGCGATTGGAGCTGCTTGGATGTCGTCGTGATTAATTCAGCTTAAGCAGCAGGTGATTCTTTCCGACAGCGCTGACAAAATTTCATTCCATATAAAAGTAAATGCGACGGTAGATAACATTAAAAGTGATAATAAATACCATGTTTGGTAGGAGGAATAGTTATCACAAAGCAAGAATACACTGAGGATTTAGAATAATCACTACGGACTCTGATGAGGTTTTGTGTCTTTAACTAAAAGATATCTCGAGGTAAAATACACTAGGGTAATTAATGTTCACAATGTATATTAACATTAATGAACCTATTATCTCCAAGTTTCGTTTATGGAATGCATTATACAAGATTATCTGAAATTCAAAACATGTCAAAAAAGAAAAAACAAATCACCTGATGAATAATGAAAGTAAATTGTGCGTTTTTTAAAAGTATTTCCGGTGTAAATAGAAACGTCTAAACTATTGCAGTACTTTTGTTAAACAGAATATCTAAATTGTATATTACGCTATTAGTATATGCGTGAATCTTCAATACCCTGTAGGACATTTCTATACAGTGGTCTACATACATTTATGAATTGTTAAAACTCGATACTTCACAGACAAAAATAACCCGAAGTGGCTAGTGGCAAACCATCTTAGGAATTCTATTCTTCTTGGTATAAAACTTTTAGATTAAAGGCCGGTTCATACATTACACGTATGCAATTACAAAGCGCATTTGACGTCAGGACGCATTCGCTAAGAAATGCGTTGGCGTTGACAGGTGTTCATCTTTCGCGAATTCGTGGCAGGATATCTTGGCATGACGTCACAAAGTCGCGTTCGCGGTTCCTTCTTGTGCCGAGTATGAACCGTTGATATGTGGTCTTTGCTTTATTATGTTTAAGTATATCATTAACTGAGGTATTTTGCTGTATATATAAGAAACTGAATTCACGATGTCAAATAGTCATACAATAATTTAGGTGTATAGTTTTTCTTGACATTTGTATTTGTTGTGTTCGATATGAAAATATTTAAATGCAAATTCGTGTATACATTGATGTGTAACAAGGTTAATTAGTATGGTGTTGGATAATCATTTTTCAATTATATCATTGCCTTGCATAATATCTAGGATCTATAGGACATCAAAATACCCTAATTTCTATCATAACTATCCGGATCAAATAGAGTGGAGGGTCAATTTGTGTTAATAAGAAGAAAACAAAATGTATATTACCACATATTAGTAGTGTGATGTTCATTTGAAGCGGAGCTGCCATAACAAAAAGCTAATAGCGAGCAATCTTTATCTCATTGAAGCACATACTTACCAATATTGTTCAATTATAACTCAAATGCTTGTTACGCTCTGTGAATATGTACATGCTTGTGAAATGCTTGTGAAATCTCACATAGAAAACATGCACTCGTTTAATATTTAATTTATCAGTTGATGTTCTTTGCGTATTGAATATGAGGTGGGCGAAACGACTTGCTGCCTGTCCAACATTTGATTGTAATGATAACATACATCAGAAATGTAGAGAATAAAATCCGACTTTGTTCTTTGCGCGTGTTTAGCAAAGTCTCGTAATTAACCCTCCGACGCAGAAACTAGCCCTTTTGGGGACCCAATTTGGTTAATTACCTTAATAAAAAAAAAAAATTCCAACCAATTCTGGTGATCTTCCATCTAATCCTAGCCAGAGACACCCACTACGGATATATGCAGTCACCTTTAGTGTGTGACCCCGGGTCAGGCATATCTGAGCCTGACAACCTGGGCTGCCCATATACACGTGCACAAAACAAAGTCACTTGCGGGTAGCCAAGTGCACGACTTGACCACAGACTATGTATACAACATCTGTTTCCTGTCAATGACCTCCTTATTTATAGTCTACAGACATGTCGAGATTGTATACATATAGATACTGTGTTGTATAGCCTCAAACCAAGGCGCTAAATATCTGGGTCCCCGGAGGGACCCCTTACTGTAAGCGTGTTAGTAAATGTGCTTTCTGCGTCGGAGGGTTAAGGTACTGTTATCGTCTGTACCAACTTTATTTTACCACCAGAGAGCGCCCAGCAACACTGACACGTTCCTATAGATCCCAACGCCCCATTCTATACAATACTTTCGTTGTTTTGCTCTGTTTACTAGCTATTTGTATAAAAATTTAAAGGCAACAAGACCCTGAGACAAGAAGCTTAAAGGTAGCAGTTTCAGTATCATAATCACCGAGCCAAGTGTTCACATCGGATCGCGACGCTCCGTTAAGTTGCATCTGTACCGGCTAGGATGTATTCATGCATGGAGTCTATGGGCAAATGACTATTAAGGCTTCCCTTCCATTGTCACGAAGTGGTTGGATATAGTATTTCATATTTCAATTCTTTCTGACGGCGAATCCTATCAACACTGCCTTGAACATCGAAGGCACAATATCTTTCACATTACGGCCCTCTCGATGCGTATCGTTTTCTAAAGGTTCGTTGTATACGCGGTTGTGTAATTATCTAGACCAACCTTGATTGCTGCTGAGGATTCTGTGTTTATTACCGGAAGCCGTTTCCGCTCGTACACGGCGGTGCCGCACCGTTTCATATCCATACGTGAATGTTTATGGCTGCGATGGTCGTCAAGATCGTCCTTTTTTCTCCACAAGCTATTTTGTAAAAATTGGCAACTAAATTACAAGGGGGATACCCATTGGCTGTGACGTTACCCGCTTCCAGCGTTAGCTCCACTCATACTTTAAGATTGAACAAATCAGAAACGTTTCTGCTTTCGTTGCTCGTTCATGATTGGCTAGACTTGCTATGACGTCAGTCTGTTCGCGGTCTGCGGCTGCTTTGCAGCTGAGGTGAGCGAGTGGCGTTTTGTACTCAGTGATATACGTCTGTTCACGACTATGTCCGTTTGGTCGATTACGTCCGACAACAGATTTTGACGAGCAATGGCCGATTATGTCCGACCCATTATGTCCGACGTCCGATTATGTCCGACCCATTGTGTCCGACGGCCGATTATGTCCGACCCATTGTGTCCGACGACGGGATACGTCCAACCTATTGTATTTAGATGGTCGATTACGCCGGATTCATTTGGTTGTGTACTGACATTATTAAATCATCTTTGGATTGTAACTGCTGATATTTGGCTATAGAGCCGTCGCAGATTTCTAATTTGAAAAGTTACTATTGGTAGACGAGTAATTTCTATCTTTTCAAAATGGCTGCCATTGCTTGTTTATACACCTAAATATATATTTTTCAAAACATAATCGGCCGTCGGACACAATGGGGCGGACATAATCGACCGTCGGACACAATTCTGGTTAAAATAAGAGCATTTTGGCATTAGTACACGAGAACAAAGGAAGTACCCCACTTATATGCCTGTGTAAGCGTGTGTGCTTGCGTAATAATGCATACACGGTTATAATTATCGTTGTTTGCTGGGCATTGTGTGCGCACTTGTACTCGCCGGCCGTGGTGACCGACCGTGCACGGTGTCGATTTTTGTGGTCGCGCGCAGTTAATTCGGGAATCTTCGCCCCCATCGGCATGATGCCTAATTTTGTTTTACATACCTTGGGAATAATTTTCCAACCTGAAATATGTTCGATCCAGGCCAAAACAATGCATGAATCAAATTAGCTAAAAAAAAAAAAAAAATGGAAAGTCACAGAGCTCACTTTCCATGCATGTACACGTACGTGCGTGTGTGGGCGTGCGAACATAGACATGGGTAGCCTTTCGTCAAGGCCACCATGCCTTATCTCGCCAGCATTATACCAAACGGCGAAGATGCGAAGCGACTGGAGCGGGAGACCACACATTGGGCTAAATTGAATCCGGCTTGTAAGAAGAACCTTCTCCGTAATATTGAATAAACCTTCTCCCATTACAACGCTTAGAACCTCCAAAACAACTTTTACCGCTTTCTGGTTGAAAATCTTTCAATTATACTGAATACAATATATTTTAGTCAATCAAAGTAGTGCAACCATAGCCAATTATAACTCGTTACAATTTCCTACTTCATTATTTTCTAACACTATTAAGAAAAACAGCCACATTACTTTTATTAACCTCAATTATGAGTAAGCCAATTCCCGACGGGTTTTGGTTGTTTCCAGTATGCATTGGCCCATAACGTTTCTGTACTCATACTGGCCAGTTCTTTTTGGAAGACATCTCATGTGTTGCTGCTGCTTCTGATGTTGCTGCTGCAACTGCTGCTACTGTTGCTGATGCTGCTATAAGTTAGTCATCCTAGTAAATAAAAAAAAGTGTACCTGATCTGTACAGACTGAAATATGGTGACACATGTATATCATCAAATTTTTGTTCCTATTTCATTTGTATTTATAGGTAATATAGAACATTTGATTTTGTTGTATTTTTGTAGAAATGGACGAAGTTTGAGATAAGTATTTTGTAGCAAATATTGTTACACTGACCTAGCTGAATTTTGTGGTCATTAATACTGGCAAAAATACAAGGAAAAATCATTGTAATCCGATTCCTTGACGCTACTGCAGACGAGACGCAGTAATTTACTGATGGCAGGGAATTTTCAGTTCAGGGAACCAGACTAGGTGGCTTGCACCCGTTTACGGATTTGTAACTGATGGCAAATAAAATGTGGACAAACTATCTTTGGTGAATTGGAGTTGGTATTTGAAAAATAGTCAGTTTTTTCCCCAGTTATGGTTGGATAACCACCGTTAACAATTGCTACAAAAAAATCTACTTTTTCTTAAAACTTACGGCAAGTACCATGATATGAAAACACTAATCAAGTACGATATTTTGTAATAATTTGGAAGTTTTGTTTTGTAATATTTGTAAATGTTGCATATACCATGAAAGAAATTTGGAAAAAGTACAATGTTTCCGTCATTCCGTCATTTCCGTCATATACTGATGTAATATTACAGACAGTGCTTTGACTTTATATAGTAATTTCTTTTACATGGCCGTTAATTATAATAATGTGGGCAGACTGATTAATTGACAGCAGGAAGGCAGAGGTAACCT